TTTTTTTTTTTTTTTTTAATATTTCATAATTAAATGAGCATTATGAGTCATGCACTTTTGGATTTTCCAAATTGAATTTTATAGAATGTCGCAATCGTCAGAAAATTTATTAACAATTTATTTATTACAATAGTAATAAATAAACAAGTATATTTGAGATTTTCAAAAAACTTTGCAATTTAAAATAATTTTTTTAAAACTGTTGAATTTTTATTCACTTTGCTCTTCACAATTGATCTGTTTTAAAATATTGGATGTGATGTCATATCACGGTTTAGTTGAATTGCGACTGGCGCCGCCACGCAAGCACTGATGATACCCCTTTGGTAGCGCGAAAGCCCCACAACCTAGGTCTAGACTTTTAGATATTAGTAAAAAAGGTTATTGTTAAAATGTACTTTTACTCTCTGACAATTCAACACAATAGACTAGGAATAATAAGATAGAAAAGAGGATTAAGCCATAAATATATAAATTTACTACCTTATTGCTCTCAACATAAGTAATTATAGAAATATTAGAAAGCATATTTTAATCTCTTAAGGAATATAAAATATTGTATAAAAAATGCGAGAAGATAGTCTGAGCCGATTAGTGACCCTCATTTATGACGAGTCCGGTTCAACCACTCAGTCCGGTAAATTCCCAGGGATGATGAAACTTCGGACAATTCTGCTGGCGAGCCCAGGTAGTCCAACAGTGGTCGGAAAGGACGAGTACCTGAGTAGGAGCACAGTTAGGACCCAGTAGGAAGGAGAAGGACCAATCAACGTTGCCAAAAGTCCAGCACAACGGAATACTTAGATAGTAGGGAGAGTTGCCCCCGCCACTTCTAGTGATATGAGTCGAACTTAGACATATTTGAGAATATTCAGAATAGTATTCAAGCTCAGACTTATCACCTCGTTTTCTAATTTTTTTTTTGTAAAGTCCTTTGAATACATACTTCAATTTCGTTAATCTAATTCCGTCCAATTATTTATTTAATTAATATTCACATATTAACATCTTCCTCATCCTATAAATTCCCGTTGATAAAGTTGAGTATTTCTATATTCCCGGGCGAATCAAAGACCACGTCGGTAACTTTAAATTTAAATAAAGATTTCTATCGTTGTCCACCAGGAGGAGGACATAACATCAACCAGCATGAGAGACATCTTCAGGCCTTCAGAAAAATAGCAACGGGAACCGTTTTTGTCACGGATTTGAGTTGCTTAGGCTTAGGCCATAAGACTTCGGTCTCCTGTGTATAGTCTCCATAGTTGAGAGTTTTAAGTTAGCTTATTTTCCAAAAGGTTCACTGAGCAATAAAAGGTTTACTCGAGTAACTAGTCATTAGGGCAGGTATATATTCCTTTATATACTCTCCCACTCCCAAAAACTAAAATATCTTAACCGAAAAAGTTGAAAGCCAAGGAATCAGAGGACACTTAACGTTCAGCAAAACTTCAGTGTACGCCACGTGTAAGAATATAAAATTACCAAAGTATTTAATTTATTACGTAAAAAAATTTGTGAGTAATAAATATTTAATATTTATAATAGTTAAACAAGTGAAAGTGATAATTATCAAATTTTAATAATTGTGTTTATTAACGGACAGTAAATTTGGATAAAAATATATTTTTTTACTTGAATTTAATCCTCAAAAAGTGTTAATAAAAAATTATCAAAATTTATTAGTGATATTTTGAATAATATAAGGAAAAATAATTGATAAATTTGTTAAAATGTTTTATTACGGTGTACACTCAAATTATTTGGAAATGTGTAGACGTATAAAAAACGGAGAGTTGTCAAAGGATGCTGTTCTTACGATACCACCGATTGAATTTGAGCCTTATTATTCATTTGATTTTCCCAAAAGTGAACGCAATAAATCGCTACCAATCCTCCATTTTGCGATAGGCTTTGATGATAAAAAAATGATAGACTATTTGTTAAGTTTCCATCAAACGGTAGATAAAATACAACCAGCGTTGCTGTTTGCTATAAAACACAGCGAAATAAATATTGTCGAAAAATTATTAGCTGCTGGTGGAAATATCAATGATCCAATGCTATTCTCAACAGCCATTTATAATAATCGTATTGAGATAGCGAATTTTTTGATCGATCAAGGAGCTCTATGTGATTCCAAAATATCTTTTGAAGGATGTTCGTCGTTAGTAATAGCTGCCAAACATAATTATGTTAATTTAATGAAAATCCTGATTGATAATGGGGCTGATGTCAACTTCCTATCTTCGAATCGCGGTAAAAATTCTACATGGACACCTTTGATGGCTGCGTGTAGCACAAGTGCAAGAGAAGCAATAGAAATTCTCCTAAACCATCCAAATATTGATGTCAATATTGTCGACCATAATCGTGAAAACTGTAATTTTTATATTAATACTCTCAGTTCGATGAGCAAGATTAATCATAACTTGCTGTTGAATACTAATATTAATATCAATATCAGGAACATTAACGGGAAGTTACTGATAGAATCTTCCCCATCTCTTGCGCTGATTTTTCATATTGTTGCACTGATGGTCGCGGGACTCGACGTCTCCGAAAGAAACATCGAAGCTTCTGGTGCCCGAATATACAAGAAATTACAAGCTAAATACTTACAAGAGATTGAATTGCTAAAGAGCACCAAAGAATTGATGACCAACTGGTCCTGCTTCAGGATTCTTCGTACATCTCAACATCTACTGGCTTTACGCTTCAAGCATCTTCAAATTCCGGAACATCAAGGAGAAGAATGGAGCGAAAAGTTTCCAATTTATGGGAAAATGCTTGCATTTAACTTCAAGAAAGCTCTTCAAAGGAAGATTTTGCTTAAAAAAACAGACCAGGTGCTTTTTGATATCTTATATCGGAAACTGCCAGCCACTTTTATCAATGATTTGTACCATTATATGAGTAACTATAATTTATCTAAATTAGTTGAGTAAAGTGTGGTTTAAGTCTTAAGCTGGCCGGAAGTATTAAGCAGCCGCTCAGGCTTGGGTTCGAGACCTGGCAGTCGTAGTTTTTTCAGCGATTTCCAAGGATTGTTCTCTTGCCAAAAAAAAAAAAAAAAATTAGAAAAACGGTTCACCCTAAAGGCCATCCGTGCAACTTCCCGCTAATTCCATTCCTGGGCGCTTAAAATTGTACTTATGACATTTTTGAGATTTTTAAGCTTAAAATATAATTTATGTGATATTTTGAGCTCGCTAAGTTCAAAGAAACTTAACGCTATGTAAACCTCTTATAACTCTTGAACAGTTGAACCGATTTCATTGCGGTTGGTGTCATTCGAAAGGGCTTCACTAAACTTAGATTCCCTGAAAATTTTAACCGATTCGGCCCGATAGATTTTGAGAAATTTAGAGAAATCTCCAAAAAAATAGGAAAAAATTTTTTTTCAGAAGTGGTTTTTTTGGAATAACTTTCAAACGGCTCTACCGATCGATTTCAAAAACTAATCAGCTCTCAACCTTAAAAAACCACGTCGATTGTCGCCAATCCGGTCAAAATCGGTTGATTCGTTCAAGAGATATCGTGAACAAAAAAAAACCGAAAAAAAACGAAAAAAGTGTTTTTTCGGAATTACTCCGAAATTTCTAGTTTAACCAATTGAAACTTAAGAATTCTTTATGAGGCTTAAAAAACTGCGTAGAATGCCGCCAACTGCGTAAAAATCGGTTCATTCATTCAAAAGTTATTACAGTTTGAAAATTCAAAAAATAGTGTTCTATGAAACTTCTATCAGACTTTTGAGCTGGGAGAGCTCAAATGCATAGAAATATTATCTCTTTGAACTCAGCGAGCTCAAAATATCTCATAAATTATATTTTGAACTCAAAAATCTCAAAAATGTCATAAGTACAATTTTAAGCGCCCAGGTATGGAATTAGCGGGAAGTTGCAGGGATGGCCTTTAGGGTGAACCGTTTTTCTAATTTTTTTTTATTATCTAAAGTAACACACGTCGGATTTTCTTAATTAATATGAGCGTTCAATTCACTGCCGTTAAATTATTATTTATAAAAAACTAATATATGACTGTGGATTTTTTTGTACATCTATCTATACATTTTATTATAGTATTTTTTTTTCTCACCTTTGAGTTTTGGCGCCACTAAACCATAGCAGTTTTCTGTTTTTTATTATTTTGCTTTTTATATTTTATTATAATCAATTTTATTGTAAGAAATGAGATTATGAGGCGTGCACTTTTGGATTTTCCAAACCTTTTTTTTAATTTTGTAAAGCTCCAAGTTCTCAATAAAAAATTTAAAGGTTTATTATATTAATAAATTATTTTCAATACCATGAATTATTTTTTACATCTATAAAACCAATTTCAAAGAAATATTATTAAGTGAGCTAATGTATTGCTGCGTATTAAATATAAAATATTCAACAGTTATGATAGACATTAAAAAGCGTAAAAACATAATGCTATAAATTTACAGATTGAAATTAATAGGTAACAAAAACGCAAAGATAATAGACGTGATGGAAAATTACAAAAAGGTATTTTTCTATTGACGTGAATATTCGTGAGCAAGGATTATGTTTCCATCTGGCACCATCAATGTAAATAAACATCGGTACATGTGGCGGCGCGTAACGGCGTTATTATATATTGCCAATAAATCGATATCGATAATTAAAATCTGGCTGGGTCGACATGTCGTCCAACTCATTCTCTCTTATAAACCTGTGTAAATTATTTAACGGATACATATATAAACTGTTAAAAATATTAAATTTGTTATTTTCGGTGTAACTGTACGAGTTGCCGATAAATTTTATTTTATTTTATTTTTTGCAATCGAAATCATAAATTCACATTATTTACGCGGAATTTTGTATGTGACAGCGACATGACACCGCTATTATACGTAAACGTGTATGTCTATATGTATTTACATGTATATATCATACTTAACAGATTTCTCTTTTGAAGTATATACTGGTATTAATGAACGAAAGAACATTTTATATGAGTTAAATGATGTAATAAAATACTCAATATTATTCAAATTAATGTTTTTGACAGGTGACAATAAATTTTATTGCTATTTTATTTTTAAATTAAAACGAAGAAAAATTTAGGACTGGTTTTTATTATTATGTAAACAGTTCTTATGTTATATTATGGTGCTACTGAATTATTTTAATTATTCTCATACATATATATGATATTTCTGATATTTGTAAAATATATAAAATATATAAAAAAATTCATGTGGGTATTCAAATAAAAGATTTCGATGAGCGTAACATTACGATGAGCTTATATCATTGAAAATATCATTAGGTGAAGAAATACAATATAATTTCTTAATTATTGACATTTTTTATAATATAAGCTCATCTTGATGTTATGCTCATCGAGACCTTTCATTTGAGTACCCACATGGCATTTTTTATATATCTTATATATATGGTATTTGTGGAATATATATATATATATATATATATATATATATATATATATATATATATATAGTGATATCTGGATTATATAAAATATATAAAAAAATCATGTGAGTACTTAAATGAAAGGTCTCAATGAGTGTAACATCATGATGAGTTTATATCTTAAAAAATGTCAATAATTAAGAAATTACATTGTATTTCGTCACCTAATGATATTTTTAATGATATAAGCTCATCCTAATGTTACACTCATTGAGACCTTTTATTTGAGTGCCCACATGAATTTTTCATATATTTTATATATTTCAAAAATATCATATATATATATATATAAAATATATAAAAAAAATCATGTGGGTACTCAAATGAAAGGTCTTGATGAGTGTAATGTCGGGGTGAGCTTATATCTTTAAAAATGTCAATAGTTCAAAAGATACAAGGTCATTTCTTAATTATTGACATTTTTTAAGATATAAGCTCATCTTGATAATATACTCATCGAGACCTTTCATTTGAGTACCCACATGATTTTTTTTATATATTTTATATATATATATATATATGATATTTTTGAAATATATAAAATATATGAAAAATTCATGTGGGCACTCAAATAAAAGGTCTCAATGAGTGTAACATTAGGATGAGCTTATATCATTAAAAATATCATTAGGTGACGAAATACAATGTAATTTCTTAATTATTGACATTTTTTAAGATATAAACTCATCATGATGTTACACTCATTGAGACCTTTCATTTAAGTACTCACATGATTTTTTTATATATTTTATATAATCCAGATATCACTCAGTATCATTTCGATTATACTAGTTACTATCTGAAATTTTTTTTCACTACCGATGTCACTGAGTATAATCTGGAATGTCGTCCAGTATGTAATCTCGTTCTTTCCGTGTTCTAAGAAAAAAAAATTTAATTTCGTCAAATTTTTCTTTTATTTTCTAACATGTCACCCTATGAATGAATGAATATGACAAATTTTGATTTCAGTACTTACTGAAAAAAAATGTATTGGTAACTATCAAAAGTATCAATATGATAAATATACTACATTTACTGGGGAGTCTAAATAAAGTCATGTCTTTTCTCGAGTAACAGCTCTTATATATACCAACGATTTATGGGTTCTAGTAGAGGGTTTACGTGCCGATATATACGAGCCACGGTGTTAATCCGAATTAGAGATGGGGAGGATGCTTGGACCTGGGTCATAAATCCTCCAGAACTACCGACTTACAAATCGTTTTGGGGCTGGGACGAAATGTGCGCGCGTCGAGGGAAACACTAAGAAAACTGTTGAGAATTAAATTCTAAGATCGAAAATTTTTTTATTCTCCGGAATAATTTTTTTCTTAACGTAATTGGCCATAAATAAAATATTTTAACGTCGTATAAATTTTATTTAAAGAAATGAGATATTTCAATAAGACTATGATTTATTTTTCTCATACATACGTGTGTACGTATATGATATCGTAAATAATAGCAAAGGTGCACTCTATACAGTGTGCATGTTTCAAAGGTATATTGAGAGTGTTTGCTGTTTCAAACGAATTCATGTGACACGCGAGCTTTTATTTTTTCTCTTTTATGTGCATTGTTCGAATACTATTGTTATTATTGTCACTATCACAATTATTTTTAAGCGCGTAGAAACATGAAAATTTTGCACGTTAAAATCTCACATCATGTAATTGTATACAAACTGCAATTTATTGGTGTGATAATATAATATATTTTAGTTTACAAATTCTACGTATTGAGAATTGGAAAAACTATACATGAAATTTTTTAAAAATAATTTTTTTACTTCTAATTAAATTATTAAAAAAAAATTTTCAATTTTCTTAGCGGGAAGTTAAAAAAAATAAAAAATTTTTGAATGTCAGCTAATTTAAGTTTTATATTTATTTATCATTGAGAGATCATTCTGGTTCTGTACAGAAAGAAAAATTTCTTGACTGGAGAACAAAATTCTTGGCTCAAGAAAATTTTTGGGTGCCTGAAGGAAGACCGAAATTGTGTTGGCCGGAGTAAAAATTTTTCTTGAAATTCTATTCTTGGTGGAAGTCATTTTTTCTTAATTCAAATTATAGTGTAATCTTGTTCTTTCCGTGTATATGGTCATTGTACACATGGTAACATATTGATATGTTTATTTTTTTTACTCGGTGATGATTAAGTTATTTTTAAAAAAATTGGGATTGTTGTGACAAGATATTAGATTCTAAAATTTATATTTATATTTATAATTTATAAAATTTACATATTGAGAGATATAATCTCTTTTTGATGTTACATTCATCGAGACCTTTCATTTGAGTACCCACATGAATTTTTCATATATATATATATATAAATATATCAAAAAATGCATGTGGGTACTCAAATGAAAGGTCTCGATGAGTGTAACATTAAGATGAGCTTATATCTTAAAAAATGTCAATAATTAAGATATGACCTTGTATCTTTTGAACTATTGACATTTTTAAAGA